GGGGTATTCAGTCACCGTATCTAGTACGTGTTCCTGCGGCCCGGTGTGGTGGAGGGTGATTCACAGAATACGCGCCGTTTAGATTCCGTGGCCCTTCACAACAATGTGATATGGTTTTAAAAGGGTCTTATACCATCTAGATACTCGAAAGTGCTAACATCACCTGGTGCAACACTAAAAACATAAGAAGACTGCTACAGTGGGTGACTAGAGCAGTTTAAATGGTCAAAATGTGAACTCCAGTACGTTCCTAATGTCCGAGTTCATGCGGACTTTGCCAAATCCGAACAATTTTAAGGAAATAGTCGTCTAAGGCACATTGCATTTCTGGAGTGACATATCCAGGGAACGCAAGGAATGAATTTCGATGTGGAAATAATATTTTTCTATATTTCGTCACGAGACGACCAAAGTCGTTCTTACTAACTTTTTCAAAAAGCAACGGAGTTCACAATGTTTGCACTGCACCGTAAAAATTAGTTGTTAGAAAACAGCTCAGTTGTTGACCAACAGCTCAGTTGTTCAAGAACAACGTTTGTTGTCAATGCATTGTTAATATTGGGCTATTGGGCACCATTTTGTTTTTACTGACTTTTTTAATTACTGTAACTGGACAACTTTTGCTGTTTTTAGACAACTGAAGCTGTTGTACAACAACACGAGTCAGTTAAAAACTTAACAAAGAATTTGTTGTTAAGGGTACGCGGGAGACAAATCGTCGCATAGCGTTAATTTCGTTCCAAGATTGCCGCCAAACCTTGAGTGACACTGACATGCGGTTTTTTCTGGATGATAGTTCTTACTGAAATCTACTTCCTTACGTCGAGAAATTTTGGACTTCTTTCGCCATTGGACCAATATTTGAGCTCAAAATATGGAATTTTGTCAATTTCGTTCCAAAATTGCGGCCAAACTATGAGTGATACTGGCATGCGGTTTTATCCGGCCGATAGTTCTCACTGAAATGTACTTCCTCACGTCGAGATATTTTGGACATCGTTCGTCATTAGACCAATATTTGAGCTCAAAATATGCCATTTTCTTCCCCCTTTTTAAACAGACCTGGGCACCTTCCCAATGGACTAATTTGAAAAATCAAAACGTCAGGAAGTAAAGGAAAGTTCTAAGAATGCTCTCGAATCAACCGCGTGTTGATTGGAAATTTAGTTTAGGGGTAATCATAGAACGAAAACGGCCGAAAATGGCCATCAAACCGCTCTACCCCGCGTTTTGGCAGGAGCGGGCCAGGCGGGCGAGGTTGGCGAGGCGTCCGGCTGTAACAGATTTATGACAGGTGCACCGAGCGACCGGAGGTGCATTGAATGAGTGACATTGTCTCCTCCCGCAGCGAGCATCCTTCTCTCTCGCACTCGGGCGGGCGGGCGGCCAGCCGAGGTGGCGGGGAGAGGGGGTCGAGTGCTGGACGGTCTGTGACACAATGGCGACTCGCTGGACAGCTCTTGACAGTTTAGGCGATACTCCTGAAGTCGGAATCCTAGTGCAACCCCATTTGTCTCCCGCGTACCCTTAAGTGACAACATTTTTTTTTACAGTGTAACTTCAAACTGGGGCAGAGGTAGAGTAACAATTCTACGCCCACAGTAAGGTAGAGCGAAAGAACAAAATTTTCGATATCGAAGTTCATTTGGGGTGGAAAATGTTCTACCAGTTGAGGGTATTAACCATGCAAAATCCCAGTTCGGTGCGATTTGATCTTCAGCCCCCAGTAACGCCGTGAAAATCCGTAAAAACAGGAAAACAGCGGTGGCGCAACGTACAGTACAGGGTGGGACACAAAGCTCGCCCTGGAACCACTATGCATTGGAAGCAAGATACCCAGCGCGACAAGCCAATGATCCTACGCTCGGAGAGTATAGCCAATCCCAAAGATATTGCAAATGACATCTAAGTTTATCGCAAAAATTATCATTAAACGAAATGTAAGCCAAAACAATTGCAATTTTTCAAGACTTAATAAAACCTTGTCAAGCATTCCAACAATTGCAATATTCACATTATAAATTTAACTCCAATACCTCATCACTTCCATACACATTTTGAAGAATGGCCGAAGGTTTTAAGGAATTGTACCTAGGAGTAAATGCAAACATAGCTAAAGACATAAATAAGCTATGTTTCTTTCCAAACATTTTGTCCAATCTGGGTCAAATCCAAGGAAAAGATATAACTCCACTTTTTTAAAGAAGCAGTCAGAAGAGCACTTTTAGCTATGGATGTAATATGTCAAGTCTGCACAGGAAACCACGAATTCTGGACAATAGCAGGTACTTCTTTTTTGAAAGGAAATAAATAAAACGCATTAGTAAAATGATAAGAAAACCAAATATATCATTGATAGGAGGTTCATCTACATCTTGGAAACACAAACGTTTTCAATGACATTGATATCTTTGTGTCATGTACTGCAAAGCATTCAATTTCATCAATGAAAGGTCCAGACTGGCTCTGGTACAATGACAGAAATGTGGCCACATTTCTGTACAATAGAACCAAAGAACAAAAATATCCAGGTAAATATATACTTTTATTGCTATTATTTTGAAAAATAGATTTACTTAGCATATAATTTTACAGGTCAATTTTAATTCGCCCCTAAAGAATTAATCCCCAAGAGCTCTCTACCTGTTCTCAATCTACGTTTTAAACAATTTTGATATACCGTTATGCAAAGTCTCCATGAAATTCCCATTCGCTGATTCAAATTGAACATGCTTCATTGATTTAAATTCAGTAGAAACGAACAAACCAGCACAAAATTAAGGCAAAAGAAATACGACGAAAGGAAAGTTGAAGGACTGCTGAAGCAAGTACCATCATTAAGTTTGTTCGCAGCGCAAGCACTGTTCAAACGTCAAGAAAGAAAAATTTAACATTTTCAATATCACTATGGCAACTAAAATTGGAGAAAATTCAAAGTGAGGGTGAGTTAGGACCAAGAATCATAGACAAATTATCTTTTCATTAAATATGGATTATTCTCAAAATATAACTGCCAATATAGTTTTCTACAGCAGTGCATTGACAAATTTACTTATAACTAAAAGAGAAGAACAAAAACAATCTTCACTTTGAAACCAACAAATTAGTACACCAGTCAAAAAAAGTATTAGGTACAAAAATGACACAGTTGCTTTAGTTATTTGCTAACTTTTAGATTTCATTTTCTGTATTGCTTTACAGGAGCAGAAACGCTGGGAGACTGCTATGAAGCTGAATATAGAAGAACAAAAATGCGTTAAAGTAAGTTATGGACTCATCTTAAGAAATGTACAAATTTAATGTTGGTAGTCTTGGAAACAAATTTTAGTTTGGTGACATTATTGATCACTTATCATGGGTCAATGATATTCCTTTCAATGCATGTATATCTATAAATTACCAAATCGCATTACCTACAAAATGGAACATTAGTCAAAGTTTGCAAATAATGCACAAATTAAGAAATTTACATAGATTAAACTTCTTATGCCACTAGAGATACGCAATACATTAGAAACAAGTAAATTTAAATCAGTCCATTGCTGGAGTGCAGGGCAAATTTCCATACCAACTCTGTCCACGCCCTCAGCTTTTCGCATGCCCAGCGGGATGACTTTAAAACCTGCTATTCTGAAACGGTCTGCTTTGTTTAAATATTCGTATTGATGCATGATTATTTCTCGCCGCTAACTTCTCTCTCCATGTCTAAGTGAACGGTTCAGTCCCGGCCAGATATCAATTTTGGCCAAAATTGCATCAAATTGCACAAAAGTCATGAAATTTTGCAGCCTACACCTACCCCGCCTAAACCATAGGTTCCATTGTCAATTGTGATACATCACCAGATGCCTTTTTTGGCGTAGATTGTATTTCTGAAAAGAGATTTTCAAAAAACATCAGATACAAAACCTAAATTTTCGATTTTCACTTTTTCATGGTTTTTGACGATTTTTCCCACAAGAGCTAATTGAACCCGATGCGCAATCAGAAAATATAGTCCGAACTGAAAATAAAAAATTGCATTGGATTCTACATCTAAAAAGACAACTTTTTCGCATACCCGCCATGTCAATATCTCAAATTCTTTTTTTCTCTACCCTCTACTGTATCCCTCTAGCCATTGCTTTTATATTCGCACTATTCCCACTAGGCATATTGGCTTATATGTTTGTAAAGGATTTCTTCAGAAATGATTGGACTAAAATCAATGTTGCTTCTCCAAGTTTGCTACAAACAGGTCGACGTGTCCCTCGAGCAAAGGCGGATCTGCGCGCGACCGATGAACAAGGGCGCATCTGTTTCGGTGCCGCCGAAGAAGGGCGCATCTGCTTTTGGCGAGATTCGCTAGGGGGAACTATAAATGTTTCCCGTTCAACGTAGAAAAGTAACACAGCAGCAAAACTTACGGTACATACTAATGAAGAATCAAGGATTAATATGAGCTAACGTCCAAATATATAGGACAAACCTCTGAGGTGTGAGGAGCGTCTAAAGTTCGCCTACGCGAATCTCACGGAAAACAGATGCGTCCTTCTTCGGCGGCACCGAAACAGATGCGCCCTTGTTCATCGTTCGCGCGCAGATCCGCCTTTGCTCCA